TTGCAATCTGTCAATCCGCTGACAATCACGGTTGACGAACTCTGCAACACCTCTAGCTTCTGAGCTTTGCAGTGTTATGTTGACGGCGTGGGTTGTCGTGACTGTGCGTGCCCAAGCTTGGTGCACTCACTCTGCAATCTGCGAATCCGCGGACAATCGCGACTTATGCGCATGACTGCATAATTATGTTGATGGCACGCGTGGTTTTGTGGACAGCAAGTGCCCGAGCTCTGACAGAAGTGTAAAGACGGCACGTGGGGCTCTGTTAGTCGATATGTGGTCTGTCCGATTCGTAATGGCCGTGGGGGTCGACGGGCGCGGCCTGACATATCAAGGCACCGATCACGGACGTTGCCGCAAAATTGAGGTAGTGTTGTGGGGAAAGATAAGGGTTGGAGTGACGTTACCTGTTGCGCTAGTGAGGCGTGGTCATGGTGGCAGTCTTCGGCCTGCCGTGGCATTCTCAGTGAGTGAGAGGGGACGAGGGACCCCAAATGAAGCGGTTAAGGGTTTCAAGCTTGGGTTGATATGTTAAGAGGGGCGAGAGCACGGAAGGACGCTGCGATGGATAATCAAGCAAGGCAAATATAGAGAGCTGAAGAAGCAGTAATAGGATTCATTAGGGTGGCGTAATATCCGTACATTATGTCGTGTTTTAGGCATCAGGTTTGAAAGGAAGTAGCTATAACATCTAAGCAGCTTAATGATGTAGGAATTGCTTTAACCATCGACGTTGATCTGTGCGCGACCGAAGCTGCTGGGTGATCCACAGCACGCACTTCGTTGGCATATTTTGACCTCATCACTGCAATGCAACCTGCTAAACTCCACAGGAGAAGTGCCAGTCTTGATCCTTCATGTTCAATCCGGCCACATAGTGTTCTGAGGAGCCCATCATCATGAGGGTTAGAATTATCAACCCTTCTCAGTCTTCTTCGCCCACTTCTTGTCATCCCTGGTATCACCTAAACCCCAAACACTAAACCCTGTTCCAGTAGAGCTCTAGAGTTGTGCTCCCTCAGCACGAATCCCCTAGCCCGCTGAATCTCCTTTCCTGGAGTAGCCCACCCCTCACCCCAAACACCTCATGAAGGAATTAGGCTTCAGGGTTTAGTACTCCCTGCCTTTAACGGAACCCTTTTAGATCCCGTCAAAGAACCCTTATAGATCGCTTAGAGGATCCCTTAAAGGAGCCTTGAAGCATGGCTTGCCATGGCCGGGTACTGCGGGAAAGGCAGGTGCCATGGCTCAAGGCCCCCCCGCCAGCTTATGGTTTAGGGGTTTAGGGGTT